GCATTTCTCGTAAGCCATCGTCGGCTACAATACCGGTCGGAATAGCTATCGCACAGCAGAGGACTTCCCCGAAGACTAAATCGCCCACAGATTCCGCTTCAAACGCATCACAACCTCTCAAACCAATTCTTCCAACGCTATCATTACCAGTGATGGCCAACAGTCCCATACTTATAACAGATTCCCCCCCAGCCGGCACTTCCCTTTGGATTAAGCCGACCCCCAACTCTACGCTCTCTAACAATAACTCCATTCAAAACAACTCTCAGTTCTCGTTCTCCGGCGACTACCAGTTGGCCAGGGATTCACTGACAGGTATTTGCATTCATTTATACGATTACACAATTAGTTTACATAAGTATGTCTCGGTTTAGGACACCTGTATCTGTTTCGCAATTCTTCATCGCTTCCAACGACTCCGACCACAACCCCAAAGCCGTCGTCGATAATACCGCCGATGAATATGAAAAGTAGCGAACATTCAGCCAAATCGAGTCCGTCAACGATCATAACAGTGCCGGTCGGCCCCACACAACCCCAACAATTCTTTGCCAGTTTAGGCCAAACACAGGCCTCAACACTAATACTCGACACCACAAACAGCGCACCAATAGTTCAAATCGCGGCCACAGCGCCCGTCACGACAGTAATGGCCGGCATTAATGCCAATCAAACGCCTAATTTTGCATCCAATCGATCGTTGGATTCTAAGCCCAAAGCGGCCATCAATGGCACCATTAGTCACAACATCGCAAACAACAACTCAGCGAATGTGGAGCGCGGCTGTCAGGCCTCCATCAGCGACGATGAGCTCTCCTCCGACCACATGAAGACAACCGCCACTCAGGTCTGTCTGCAACTTATTTCCAGTATTTTTTATTATCGGTTTATGTGATCATAAAATTGCATTAATCCCTTCAAACATATTCTTTGCCATAAATTTTGTTATTTTTTATACCATTTTTCATTTCACTTTATAATGTTTCACTTACTTTTAAGTGTCGTTTAGGACTTTGTGCTAAACACTTGTCGCCAAATGTAATACAAATGTAAAACATTGAAAGAAAACTTGTTTTTATGTTATTTATTCTCGTTTTGTTTTTTATGAATATTTAATCATAAAATGTTTTTGAATATGAACACAGTTTATATTGAATTGCTATCAAATTACTTTTTATCATTCATTGCCGACTTGCTAGTGAAAGCTGGGTATAGCTCTGGGTTATACATATAAGCCCAGAATTTCTAGTATAATATATTATTTATATTGCATTGCATTTGTTGGCTACAACTTAATATATTATAGCAACAAGTGTCTACAATAATTATTAATAATTAATTAATAAATACAAATCTCCAACTGTAATGCATAATACAGTACTATAGTATTAAGAATTTGTCCATGTACAGTACTGTAACTTATTTGAGTTTAATATTGAAATTATCAATTTAGCATTATTTAAATTAGCATTATATACAGATTTTTATGCTTAAATGAGAATAATAAAGGTATTCTATATTTTGAATTCACTATTATATCCACAATTTGTCCTAAATATACAAATATTGATCGATTATTTGTACCGTGAGATTTTTATAGCGTATACAATATTAGCAATACATTAATTTTCATTATTAATATTTCAATGATTTCTATTTTCAGTTCAGTTTTCAGTCTTATTGTTTACATTTCACTAAATTTAGTCAAACATGAGTTGAGTATTAGTTTTGTTCACTGCTTATGATTCATAGCATTATTACATCATTTAATGTGTTATTGTCTCTCTCTTTCCTGAATGGTTTGCAATCGTTTATAAATACACTGTACTATAGAAAGCATAGAATATTGAGATTCTAATAATTGCCACTTATTTCTATTGGAAAGCCTTTCAACCGATGTTTAGGTTATAATCCCGTCAAGGCTTTCAAATACCAAAACATTGTAATTAGATATTGTGTTTGAGTGTCATATTAAACCCATTTCTCATACATAATACAGTAGTTTAAATAATTAGTTGACAGACAATTGCAATGTATTGTATGTGTCTTATCAGGTGGACATGGATTACATCCATTCTTCCGAAGAAGATGACGATAACGACGGAAAGCGCCATAAATTGATGCTATTTAGTGAACGCAAGCAAAGAACTACTCAAAGAAGTTCGTCAGTCGATGATAACGAAGACGAGTCCAGTCGTGATTCCATTCAATTGCAAATCGTGGACGAGTTGGCCGCCGATGAACCGCCACAACTGCCCGTCAAATCAGCGCCAGTCATGCAATTCATAGATCATCACGGGTTGGATCTGTTGGTCGACTCGATCGAAGAGTTTGCCGCTCGCGAGGAGACCAACCCATCGACCAGTGATTTGCCGGTCAATGGCCTCCAACTACTGAGCACTTTGGCTGAGCAGAGGTCTCGCGAGGAGCGGTTGAGCGGCGACGACAGTCCTCTGCGCCGACATTCTGTTGATTCCAGTATTACTCTCAATGGTCTCAATAATAATGACAATGAAGTGAAGAGTAGTGTCTTTGTATTACCAGTTAAGAAGAGACAGAGATCTGAGTCTTGTTTTACGACAAATCCCATCAGTTATGACGACAGCCACCAAACATTGAGTGATATTAAGAAACTGATGAGAACTTCCGGTTCTCAGACGGATCTCTTTGACCGAAGAATGAAACCATTAAATGACAAGAATTTTGCGAATTTAAGGCGAAGTGAACGCATTTTCATCAACGATTCCTTCGTCTCCAGTCCTAAAGATGGGAACAGTTATGATGTGAATAAAGAGTCGATTGAAGATCAAAGAAAAGACAGTTTTGATAGTAATTTGAAATCTATTCATAATATCGGTAATAATATCAGTAATAATAATCATATGAAAGTGATTAACCAGAAAAATATATCAACAAATGTTGTGTCCATCAAACCAAACGATAAAATGAAGAGCCATTACGTGTTTGAAGGCACCAAAACTGAAGGCTTACATCCAAATCATCATAAATTCCTTGATATTAATAAAACCAAAACTAATGATAAAATAGTTTTCTGTGATAATAATAATATTAATAATCAGAGGATTAGTTGTGATTTGAATGTATCGTCAAAAGAGAAATCCAGTGAACATAAGGATAAGAAGAAGAAAAAGAAGTTGTTCTCCACTTTTGGTTCCATTGGTTCCGCTCTTAATAGCAGTTCTTTGGGTTCAATAAACAGTGAGAAAAAAGTTAAGAAACGAAAGAAAAAATTGGGAGAAGTGTTGGAACAGAAGAAGAGATTGAAAACAGATTACGACAAACAGATTGATGACAGCATTGAGAGTACAATCAAAAAAGTGTCACAAATTGGGGAGAAGAGCAGCAGTGAGTCTACGGCTGACCACAACTCCTCTATCGTTAGAGTCAACAAAACGATGGTTGAGAATAACGATTGGAATTCATGTGTGGATTCAAAAGGAAGTGATGAACAAAGAGATGAATCCAAGAAGAAGAGGCCGTTATTTAAGCCATCGTTTGATTTATACGATACAAAACGTATGAAATTATTGGATGAAACCATTGATGAGATAATTGCCAAAGAGTTGGTTACATCAGGAGATGGAGAACAAATCGATGAACTCAGAGATTTAGATGTGATCTCATCTGAAATGAATGATGAAAAGCCAAAAACGTCTGAATCGAAGACTATATCGACTCAGTCTTCAGAAACGACTCCATCGAAGCCAACACAAGAGCCGCCAAAACACAAGCCATTAGTGAAACAAACGTCGAGCTGTTCCACAATCTCTTCTACGTCTTCCTCGATATCTTCAACGTCTGGTTCATGTCTGCTATCAAACCCAGCGTTGAATTTGAAACTTTCAGAAAGCGATTTGGATTTGAAACTCAATGTCATTATGTTAGTCGACGGCTTACTATTTGTGGGAGAGATCTGTCCCATTCAGGCGCCAGACATCTATGGCATTACACTTCACGGCGAACGACAGCACCGGCCTATCATTTACTCTCAGGAAGAGATGCTTCGCGAAGCCATTCGTGAGGTCTGTATTGACTTTTTGGTGATTTGCGCACAATTTTCCTAAATCTTGATCTCTATTAACAAATGACAGGTAAAGCCATCATTGGATGACTTGGAAGAAGGGCAGAGGGTTTGCGCGTATTGGTCCACACAATACCGACACCTATACCCGGGTTATGTGCGCTCCTCTTCCCCGCATCCAAACCTAGTGTTCGTTGAGTTCGATGACGGAGACAACGGACGCATTGCTGTCGACGACATTCGACTCCTTCCACAGGAATACCCGCAGATGAAGATCAATGCGGATCCGCTCAAGAACTTAGAGCGA